CCTTTCTTCCTGTGTAGAGAAACCCAATTTTCTACTGTTAATTTGGATTGAATTATCCCAGACAGTATGGTAACTCCTTTGTTTACCTGCTGGTTCAGTGAGCCAAAATGGCCAGGTGGCCACCTCAGCTTCCAGTAGAAGAGAACCATTGCAGCAATTCTGGTAGCATTCCTCCCTTGGGAAATGTATCAGACACTTCTTGTTCATGATTTCAGATGCTCTCAGACATAATTTTTTATTCCAGCCACAGGTGCAGTAACCAGTTCTGCACAAATTTCATCCAGGCTCACATAGATACAATCTAACTGCATTACCTCAGGCCTGCTCCACCTGGTTCTTGTGTCTTGCCTTGGGATGTCTCTGATTCCCTGGAGTGAAATATTATGGGAAGCCAGCTTAACACTCACACACACAAACTTAAGGTGTAGGGGAGATAATGACCTATCGGCCACCCCTTAAATAACAGGTGCTGGGAGCTGATGAATATATTCTCCCCTTGTTTTTACTAAAGTGGATGGTCTGTGATAAATTTCATCAAGCCTTATTCACTCCCAGTGGTGGCCAACTTAATAAGCCACCCCAGTATTTGCTCTCCCTTCTTCCTTATTTCCCCTCTCTATCCATTACTTCTCCTTGTAAGATAATCTCCCCAAATAAGCTACTAGCAAGTAAGACTTTCTCTCAGTCTCTGCTTTCTGGACAACTCAGGCTATGGCAGAAAGTAAGATCTCCAAGCCAGCAGAGCACAAAATGGAGGGTTGGAAGTGAAACTTCTGCGAGTACATTTGGTCTAATAATGACAGAGGTCAGTCCTGCTACCACCCCTTGATTCCCAGACTTGAGAATCATGGCTATAGGGAAAATGGCACCATATATGGGTTCCTGGCTCAAAGCATACACCATAATCTATAAGAGTTCACGCCAATCTTTCTGGATGTGATCTCCTGAGTGGTACCACAACTGAATCTTTACTACAGACAGTAACTGTAAAGCTAGAAAAGAGCTTCCTATCATTCTCTGCGTGCTCCTTTCATGCACCTTCCACGACACTCCTCCACCTTGTTTTTTAAAGCTGGGACTATAACCCCACCCCCTTCTCTTGCTTGATTCATAGAACGGTGAGCAAAAGAAATCTGAAGAATGGGTCAGGAAGAGGAAGGATGTAGAGAGGAAAGGCCACAGTGCTATGTGTTTCAGAAAGACAGGTCTGAGGAAATAGAGAATTAAATGTGCTGTGTGTGTGTGCACATATATATACTTAGAAATAATATAATATATGTGCAAGATTTTGTTTGTTTGTTTGTTTTAGCTGAGCCATCCTGCCACCTGTTGGCAGCTCCGTGGCAGTACAGCTCGGGCAATGAATCAAACCGGCGACCTTGTTGCTCAGAGCTCCCACTCCTGAGCGAACTCTTAACCAACTGAGCCACTCGGCAAGCAAGTGCAAGATTTTTATAAACAAATTTATAAAACTTATACTAAAAGACATATGATCTAAATATAATAAATAGACATGACATATTCCCTTAACAGGAAGATTCACTGTTAGATATATGTCCACTGTCCCCAGAGTAATTTATAAATTTGATGCAATCTTAATAGAAAGTCCAACAGGATTTTTTAAAAACAACAGACCTTGAGGAGATATCTATAAGAATACTTAAGAAAGGCCAGCCGAGTGGCACGTTGGTTAAGAGTTGGCTTGGGACGCCAGCTCTAAGCAGCAAGGCCACGGTTCGGATCCCACATGAGGGCCGGTGACACTGCGCCCTCTGCAGCTAACATCGTGAACAACAGCTCGACCTGGAGCTGGGCTGCCGTGAGTCGCTGGCGAGGGCATAGGCTGCAGTGGGGCTGGCTGGCAGCTGGCGTGCGCTTTCGTGAGCTGCCTTGAGCCATAAGCAGCCATCCAATGGCCAGCAAGCGACTGCCTCACCCAGAAGAGTGCAATGATAATACCAACACGGGCCAGTGAAGCAATGTCCTCCACAACTAGACTGAAAACAAAAGGAGAGCAAACTTGTCTGTTCCCCTTCCCCGATTCCCCAACGTTGTTCCCCTCCCCCAATTCCCCAATAAAATATTTTTTAAAGAATACTTAAGAAATCAATCAACAAGAGTTTTTTAAAAATCCATACATGTTTTATTTTATATTAATCATGGTATTTTAAATCAATAGGAAAATGATATATTATTCAACAGATGGCATTGGAATAAATAGCCACCTATTTGGAAAATAAAAATAAAGTTAAACCCCTATGCCTTGCAACCTATACAAAATAGTAACTTCCAAATTGATGAAAATGCTAAATATATAAAGTAGGACTACAAAATAAGAAAAATACATTTAAAACCTTAGTTTAAACCTCTAAATTTATTTTTTCCAGATGCTTCCCAGTGGTTCCAATACCACTTATTGTCTCTGTTTCTCGATTTTAGTTGCTACTTTTAGCACTAAGTTCTCTATATACTTGAGACTATTTCTGTACTTTAAATTCTGTTGTACTGACTTGTCTATTCATAAACCAGTACATTTTGCATGGATAAATGCCTTTATAATATGTGCTAGTTTTAAAATACATCTGCCATTTCTTTCCTTCAAATTGTGGAGCCTAATTCCCCTCTTCCTAAATGTGGTCCACCTTAATGACTCGCTTCTAACAAATCAAAATGTAGAAGTGATGTTATGTGACTTCAGAAGACAAGGTCATAAAAAGGACAGCTTCCACCTGGATACCGTATTTGCCGGTGTATAAGACGACTGGGCATATAAGACGACCCACTAACATTTCCACTCAAAATACAGAGTTTGTTATATACTTGCCGTATAAGACTACCCCCTCTTCCACACACCTTCCACACACCAAATAAAAGGTAAAACAATATTGGATTTGATTTGGCCCACTGAAGTGCAAACAAGCGTATTGTATTTCGTGTCACCACATAACCGTTTTGGCGATGTTGAGCCACCATGTCTGCTACATGTTTTTCGAGTTCTGGCCAGTGTGGGGTGCCTCTTCTTAATGCACACTTACCCCTTGGCATACTCTTTAATGCTTTCTCATTTGATTTCCAGTCCCCAACCATCTTTTCTGTTACTCCATATTGTCTTGCAGCAGCACAATTATTATTTTCCTTAGCAAAGTTTATAACTTTCAGTTTAAAATTTGCATCATACTTCTTTCTTTTGGCTGGTGCCATGATAGGGATGATAAGGGTTTGACTGGTCGACATTTTCTATGCTGTACTGTACAATGGTGCAGTATTGTGGTTGGCTGTTGGCTGTATACAAAGCCTGATTTGATTGGTCCCTGCTCCCTGTTTGCCCGCCCTGTCACTATAGCAGTCTGGTCCACCCTTGCATCAGCATCTCCCTGGGACCTCACTAGTGCGCAAGTGCGAGCTCTTCAACATTCTAACAGGCACCATGATAGCACAAAATCGCGAATCTTCAATGCATATGTAAAGAAATATACGGTAACCTGAATTTACCACACTCGCAAAATCGCATAACAGCAAAATCGCATAACAGCCGAGCATACACCCAGCAGCGCTGCTGATGCCTGAACGGTATGTGGAATGAAGTGGGCGGGCATCGGGAGGCCACTATGGCACGGGGCAAGCACTATGGGCAGTCTATCTGAAGTGTACCTGGCGTATAAGAGGACCCCCCACTTGGAGGCATATTTTTCAGGGCCAAAAAATCATCTTATACGCCAGCAAATACGGTAACTATTAATCACTCCAGGGGAAGCCAGCTACTATGTCATAAGGACACTCAAGCAGCTGTTTGGAAAGACCCACATAGCAGGAAACCGAGGCCTCTTGCCAACAGGAAGCACCCACCAGGCAGTATGTACATGAGCCACCTGGAAGTGGGTCTTCCTAAGGGGACTGTATGCCAAACTGTCCAGCCAAGCCACTCCTGAAATGCTGGCCCACTGAAACTGTGAGAGATAATAAATGTTTATTGTTTTAAGCCATTAATTTGGGGAGGGGGGTAATTAGCTGTGAAGCAATAGATAACTAATATATTTAAGGCTTTATAATATCCAATTAAACTATCCTCTATTGTTCTTTTTTTGGAGTTTTCCTGAGTACTCTCATTTATTTTTATATAACCTTTGGTATCAGCTTAATTTGTGTGTGTGTGTGTGTGTGTGTGTGTGTGTGTGTGTGTGTACATACACAGGGAAAAATTACGTTACAAATTAATGTGAGAAAAATCAACATCTTTGTTTTCCTAACCAAAAAAATGATTTTGCATTTGTCCAAGTCTTCTTTTCTACTTCATTAGTATTTTGAAGTTTTGTTCATATACTTTTCATATTTATCATTTAGTCTTGATTAGTCTTGGTATTTTTTCTATCTTAAATGGTATCTTTATCCATTTTGCACTCTAATGATTGTGAGTCATATAAATACCATCTACTGATGATTTCTGCATATTATGCTATTCTAGTGCCTTACCAAATTATCTCATTTTTGCAGTAGTTTGTCCGTTGACTTTCTTAGGTTTTTCACATATACAATTATATTATCTGCCAATAGCAATAATTCTCATACCTCAAATTTTTTCTTTTATCTAATATATTCTCTAGGTCCCAGAATATCAACTTCTTAAGTTCAGAGATTTTTATTAATTCATTAAGTGCTTTGTCTCCAGCACCTGAAACACTGCTTGGCACAGAGTATGTGCTCACTAAATATTTGAAGTAATTAAATAAACTCCATTTAGAGACTAGCAGCTTCAGTATAATGCTTAGTAACAGTACTAAGAGTGGGCACCCTTATCTTCTTGGTCATGACTTTAGTGGGAATGTCTCTATATTTTCCCATTAAACTTGATGTTGGCTTTTAGGCTGACTCAAATGTATTATTATCTCATGTTAAATAAGTATCCCTATTATACTGAGCGTTTTTATCTGAAATGGTTGTTGAATTTTAGAAAATGTACCATTTTTCTAAAAACAGTAAAATTATTTTTCAAAAACTCTTTACACATTTAAAAGGATTTAAATATTTTAATTCAACAAATGAAATACAGAAAAGCAGTGGTTACAAAACCATGGAGATTGTAATTTAAACCATAACAGAAAAGTGCTTTAAGTTATACTATTTAAACTTCCTTTATCACTATTTAAATTTCATTTATTGCATTAGTATAATACCTCATCTCAGCATCTGCAATTTTAACAAATGCTTGAAAAGTTTTTTGTTCAGAAACAGATGCCGGTCTGACAGAAACACATTTGAAAATATTCTTTTTCTGGTCATAGTTTCCAACACATCTATGAACTCGGCCTCTAATCAATCTTGGAAGTTCACGATCCTGTTATTTAAAAAGAAATATCAATAAAGTCACTTATTACTTCTCCTGAATTTCAACTTTTTGAAGCTAATAATATGATCATCTAAGTATGAATCACCCCAAAATGCTCTAAGTCCCTTACCTGAGTTAGGGCCTCACTGCTAACAAGACCATGATAGCTAGGTATACATGGGTGCCCTGTCAGAGGAAAGACTTTCACTTGGGTCAGGCTTCTTATAAGCTAGCAAGCTGCTGCTCCTTAAAATATTGACCAATTCTCAATCTAATGGCACATAAATTAGTCACTTCCCTTAGATTGAGTTCCACTTTCAATAGATGGCAGAAAGGTGGTTCAGACCAATTCTCCAGCTAAGAACAACTAGAATAGCTGGATGAAAGACTTAAAAATCTCCTCCTAGACATCACAGAGATGCCAAAGCAGTGAGGAATTACAGAGGCCCCATCTGGGAAAGCGCAGAAGTCTAGAATGGGGCTGATATTTGAGAATGTTTTTCCCTGGGGATATCTGTCAATTATAGTCAAGGCAGTTGAGAGTCTTAGAAACTGAGCAGAGCTTTTGGCAGGCTCAGCATGCTAGGAAGGAAAAAAATAGAGTCAGAGATCCCCAAGGAAAAGAGATTCTGGCAACCACACCCCAGGCTTAGGGTTGGGATGCAAAAGGAGTCTTAATGGGACTAGTAAACTGGAAAAAGACCAGCCAGCATCAAGTCCTCTCACTCATGAATAAATTTAAAGTATTCTGGGATTGCTTTCACTAAAACAGTCATAAAAAGCATGAACTATAAGGAAAATATTGATAATTGTTCAAAGGACTATATTAAAGTGAAGAATTTCTGTTCCTCAAAAGCCATCATTAAAACTGAAAAATCAAACCACGGAGTATGAGAAAAAATTTTCAATACACATAAAGGACAAAAAACTTGTACTTAGAATAGCTGTTTTTTTAAAAAAAAACTATAAATCAATAAGAAAAAGACAAATAATTCAATAGAAAAAAAAGAACATGAGCCTGAACAGACTTTACAAAAGAAGATATCTAAATGGCCAGTAAACATTCAAGGTGCTCAACCTCATTAATCACCAAGGAATTGCAGAGAAATGAGACAGCACTAAACACCTACTATTGAGAATAGCTAAAATAAAAAAGACTGATAGTATTATGTGTTGATAAGGCAAAGAAACTACAACTCACCTACACTGATTGTGAGTGTGTAAATTGCTACAACCCTTTGGAAAATTCTTTAGCAAGAACTACTGCATTAGAACACACACATGCACTATAATGCAGCAATTTTACTTCTAGGTACATACCCAACCGAAACGTATGCATATGCACAAGAGACATATACAAGAATGTTCACAGAACATTATTCGTAACAGCCAAACATCTAAAAACAACCCAGATGCCCACCAACAGTGGGACAGAAAATTAACTGGTATATTCAGACAACAGAATATTGTATGTAGAAATATAAATAAACAAACTATAGCTACATGCAACAACATAGATAAATCTTACAAACACTGTGTTGAGTGAAAGAAACCAGACATAAAAGAAGACATACCATATGATACTGTTTATATAAAGTTCAAAAAGAGGCAGAATTAATTTGATATTAAAAGTCAGTGGTAACTTTTAGATAGGAGACAGGAGGTAGTGAGTGGGAGGAAGCACATGGATGTATGGGGTGGCAGCAATGTCCTTTTCTTATCCTTGGTAATGTTCACTTTGTGATACTTCATAGAATTGTACAGTTATGACTTGTGCACTTTTCTGTATATGATATACTTCAATAAAGAAGTTTTTAAAAAGACTTATCAAACTAGAGAAAAAGAAACATTCAAGATATTTTAGAAATTAGCAACAATTACCATTTCTCGATCATTTACTATGTGTCAGATGCTATACATCAATGTTTTATCACCTAATCTCCAAAACAAGTTCTCAAAGTAAGAATTAGTCTCCCCATTTTACAGATAAAAAAAACTGAAGCTGAGAAAGTTTAAGCAGCTTACTCAAGGTCATAAAGCTAGTAAATGGTGGAGTAAAAACTGGAATACATGTCTGACTGCAGAATTGCAGTCAATTTCAGAATTCATGCCAAACTTTTACCAAGTGTGTAAGTCTTATAAGGTCTCCAGACTCCCTTGTGATCTTCAGCTTCCTTTGTCACCCCAGACTTTTTTCTCATCAAGCCTTTTCTTCCTTATATCCCAGTCCACTCTTTGCCTTCCCCCAACTTCAGAACTACTACCCTTACCCCCATCACTTACTAACTCTACACTCTGTAATTATAAAACTATTTGCAGTTTCCTGTACAATCCAGGCTCTCTCTTAGCTTCATGTCTTTGAATATGCTACTCTCTCAACTTAGAGTACATTCCTCCCTACCTCTTTCCTTCTCCCCACACACTTTGGCTTAATTTACTGGTTCTTAATATCTAAAATAAAGTAAGTTACTACATTCTTCGAAAACCTTTCCCTGATCTTCCTGCCTACTTCTATAGCACCTTACACATACCTGTCTCATACCATTTATCATACCACAGTGTAACATTTATGTCTTTCTACCTGAGATTATAAACTCTTTGCGAGAAAGAGCCATTTACCACTTATATTCCAATTTGCATCCATTGCATCTAGCATAGTGCCTGGCACATAGTAGGTTCTCCATATTAGTTGAACAAATAAACAACTTTAATATCAGAACTAAAACTAAACAAAATGGTGAAGATACTACTAAAGTGTTAACAGAATTTCTACTGCAATGCAATTACAGCCTGCATTTGTACGTTTTGTTGGCATATGCTTTGCAAAGAATACTTAGACAAATACTCACTATTTCATAAAATACACAAGGCAGGATATTTTTCCCATCTCTCATAAGAAAAGTCTTTGAATAATGTGGTCCATGTGTAACAGCTGAATCAAGAACAGCTAAGCAACATTGAAATGAGGAAAAATCAATGCTGGTAAAATGCAAGTAAAATTTAACCAAGAGGAGTTGACATTTAAATAACTATTCCCACACCAACCTTTCTCAGTTTTATTTATACACTAATAAAGAAGACATTTCAAGAGGAAAAGATATTTCTGAAACTGGTTTATACTAAGAGAAACAAAATTTCTGACCCTCTTCAACTTAGGTATAGGTTATATGCAAAAGTTCATACAACTGACAGTAGTTGGCCATCTGAAGCTTTTTCTTAGAATGTATTCTATAGAGTAGTTAAATCCCCACACTAGTTTACTACATTATAATAATAAAATACACACATATGACAAATAAGCATCATGGTTTAATGAAAAAAACACATTGAATTAAAATCAGAAGGAATGCATTGGAGTCCCAGTTCTTCAATTTACTAAATTGAGCTAATTGTTTAACCTCTTTCAAATCTGTCTCACCTATAAAATGCAAATAAATCATTTTTATCTCAAGGAATTATCAATTAAGCGCATTATTTATTCCTTTAGTAACCATCTGTTGAATACTAATCATAAACATTTGTTATTTTGAGATCAGCCTCCATTTCTCCTAATAATACACAGATTTTCCTTTAGGAAACCTCTCCTATGCCATATGATTGGAATGGAATTTGTCTCCATGCCCAGATGCAGGAGTGATGTGAGATTGACTTAAACCAAACAGTGTATCCTATTCCACAGCTACAGAGTTAAGGGTTTAGGTAATGGGCTTATTGCTCAGTCAGAAATTATGATATGCAAGGGGTCATTTGCTAGTTTCTGGGAAAGAACAACCAGAAGAAACTATCGAAGAATGTGACAGTGTGGTTTAAGGATGGGTGGTATAGAGAACTTTGATAATCATCTTAATACCAAAAGGGAAGAATAAGAAGCTGCTAGAGACTACAATTGGGGCTTCAGGGTGAAGACAATACTGTAACAGAACTGAAAATGGCTAAATCTTAAAAACATTATGCTGGATGAAAATGTAAACTGTATATTTTAAAACACATGAAACAATAAAAAGTGTATATATAAATTTATGAAGTCAGATAGACACAGTAAAATTATAAAAGCATGGACAGGAAAGATACCACAGTAATTAGCTCTAAAGAAGAAAAATGGATAGGAGTTTCAAATATATCTATAACATGGATATATGGATATTATATTCTCTATATTTTTCTGTATGTTTCGAATATTTCATAGTTTAAAATAAACATTTATTTTACTTCAACTATTGAAAGAAATATGTTTTGAATCTTTACCTCTTGTGTATCTCTTCATTCTAGGTAAAATCAAATTCCAGAAACATTCTACAAAACTCTCCTCCTCTTAAATATTAATTTAGAAAACAGATTAATTGTAGGGTGTCTACTCATATCAGTAAAGGATTCTTTACAAATGTTATTTCAGAGTATTTAAAATATGATTTAATTTATATACAAAATTACTACTGGGTTTAGTGTAATCTAGTAGAAAGAACTATATTGATAATATGGAGACTTGGATTCTAGATCTATTTTTGCTGCTAAATAGTTTTGTGATTTTAGTCAAGTCTACCTTAATTATTTGCCCCATTTCCTTATCTACCCCAAGGTTTGAGTTGGATTACTTGTAAGAATCCAGTTTTAACATTACAAATCAGAAGAATATTACCATAAATAACCAAGTACATGACAGGTCCAGGTACTGAAGAAGATCCTAAATAACCATAATTCCTTTTACAAAGTTATATTTTTCTTTAATATCTCTTATGTATTCCTATTGATATTCAAAACTATTGTCCAAATAGTATTACTGAAGTATTTTTGAAGTATTATACTTACCCAATATTTCAAAAAGAAGTACAGTTTTTTGTGCATGTTCACACCAGTACTTCATGCTTTCAATAACTGCAGATATAATTCTTAAAGAATTATCTTTTTCCTTAATCTTTAACGGATACAATGAGACATCCTTTTGAAAAACAAAGTCATAGCATTAGAAAAACCTTTCATATCTTTCATCATACTCTTTCACTTCCTTTGTAAAGATTCTAGGTTCTTATAATAGCAAATGTGTAAAATATGTAAAAAATAACAACTATTGGAAATTTTAGTACAGTTACTCCCCTAAATAATGTCATCATTAGCATTTTATAGGAGAGAATAGCATGCACTTGGAGATAATTAATCAAGAAGAGAATGATTTATATGGGCATTCATTGCTTTATTCATTTGTTCATTTGTCAATATTTTTAAAGTATCATGTGCCAATCCTCTAATAAACACAGGTGAGCAAAATACAATGCCTTTCCCTAATGTGCTCCCTTTAGGATGCAAGTCAGACACATTCATTCATTCATTCCAAAAGTACTTATTGGCACCTACTAAGTGTCAAATGTAGCTAAAGAAGAAATGACAGCGAACAGACAACATATCTACCCTCATAGATTTTTCTGTCCAATGGGGAATTCATAAAATAAACAATTAAAATATAATAGAATGTCAGAAATTGATATATCCTATGCATGAAAAAAAGCAGAGTAAAAGGTTAAAAAGAGGCAGAAATTATTAAATAGGTTGCTATATTAGTCATATTTCCAGCAAAAAAACCCCCAAACAAACCAGAATTTACCCTAGATGGCTCATTAAAAAGGCTGCTTACAGGCATACAGGTAGAACAAACACAAGGTACTTAAGCACTCAAAAGACTAACAACAATAAGAAACTTCTACCATTCCTAGGCTTAAAGGACAAGGGGAAGAAATAAAATTACCAAACCTGTGTAAGTTGGACTCCTGGAGGGGCTATATCATACAGGAACACACAGCTATTGCCTGCGATGCAACATTTAAGCAGGGAGGGAACAGGAAAACCCAACTTCTCTCCCACCCTTTGATGTCTTGCCAATGAATCCCACCAGCTGAACCCTAACAGAATTCAGCTAAGGGATCCCACGTCATAGTTTGCTGACGTTTGCTCTAATCTGGTATTATTTTACCTTTCTAGTCTCATATTCCATGTTCCACTAATTCACCAATGCACTTGCCATTTCAGACTCTTCCCAATTGTCTAAACATGATATACACTCTGCTGTCTGTTTTTGTTAACTTTTATTGGAACATGCCACACTCACCCATTAATGTGTGAGTGTGGCTGCTTTTAAGCATCAATGGCAGAGTGGAGTAGTATAGTTGAGTAGTTACAAGAGAGACAATATGGCCCATAAAGCCAAAAATATTTGCTATCTTGCCCTTTACAGAAAGTTTGTTGACCCTTGTTACAAAAAAAACTTTGACATATGAAGGGGTTGGAGAATTTCTGCAACTACTGGATACACTGACACCATCTCAATAATTAGCAAACAGTGAGATTCAGAACCCAGGAGGATACTCTAAAGCAACTATGAAAAGCAGCCATTCACAATTTCTTAGAAAATATTTTGGAAACCAACATTCTCTCACTCCAATGGAACTGGATATTTGTGCTAATCAAGTAATGCATGCCATGGGATTGATTTCAAATGGTTTTATCTCTGTAATTTTCTAAATAATTTATTTCATATTTTTAAAATGTAAATACAAAAATGCAAATAATTCATATTTAAAAGTTTACCTTGAGAGTGTTTTCTTCTGGATTATTCTCCAACAATTTTTTCTCAGGTTGATTTTGTTGGAAATTGGGCTTAAATCCCTGTAATGCACTGTTTTTGTCTAGACTTCTCATTGTGGAGCCAGATATTTTTGAAGAATATGTTTGTCTGAGTACTTCAGTTTCTCTTTGGTGAAATAAGTTAGGAGGTTCAGATATTCTTAATTGTTTCTGTTGTTGAGCTCCCAAACTCATACTTGGACAAGAATTTACTCCATCATTTGCCACTAGGTTTGTTCTTTTGCATTGAGGCCTAAATTCATTTCTATCCCAAGTGGTCAAGCTGGTATTTTTGTTTCTATCTCCATAGCTGTAATAGTTTTTATAAAAATTAGTATGAGTTTTTGTTTCTATATACTTTGTCTTAACTAAAAGAAAATGAAAATTTACATTTATATGGTAAGTTGTGGTTTATAAACTACTTTGTAACTACTAGTTAAAAATTCTAAATACATCATCACAACAACCCTACATTATATTATACCTCTCTTTTCAGGTGAAGTGACTGAGGCTTAGGAAGGAAGTAACTTTTACAAAGTCCTATAGCAATCCAGAACCTAGAGAACCTTAGCACCCAACTCAGAGTCCAATGCTATTAAAGTATATTTTTAAACTATACAAGCCTTCATACGTGTATAACTGGTTGTCTCTGAGTAGTAAGATTTTGAGGACTTTTGCTTTTTTCTTTACATATGTAGGTTTAAATATTCTATAAAGTAAAATTTTAAGAAGGTAAATTAATGGCTTGTCAGTGATTTTAAATCAAAAGAATAAACACAGACAGCAATTTTATTTTCAATAGAAACAATTTTTTCTTTCCTCTCTCATGGCTGTGGAAATTACTTTTATTATTCATAGTTTAAAAAGTTTCTTTCAGCTTCACAGCTCCTTATTGGTAATAGCCATCTGCAACTTCCACCAACATTTTTGCTCAGGAGGTGCTCCTAGCCTAGACGAGCCCTAGGAGAACTATGGTCCTTTGACCTCACTGGGCATGCCCACACACTTCAGCAGCCAATCCAGCTCAGCCGGGTCCTCAACATCCCAACCAGACCATGGGGCCTAAGTTGCAGTGGCTCCTCACAGGGCAGGGAGCAGTGTGTCACTCAGATCCTTTTCCTTGGGGACAAAGATAGGGTCCATATTCAGTGAGTTCCCTAGAACAAGCTGTTGTTGGGGGCAGATGGATGTGAAGGTAAAGCTTAGATTCTGAACCTAAGCATAGAACCAGTTAAAAGATCTTCAGCAGATTACTAACTGCCTACTTGGGGTTTCAGTGTTTTCTGTTCCTGGATTTCCTGTTGTTATATTCCAGTGGTCTGACAGATCATCTATTATTTCAAATTAGAATATCAAATACTGGGTTTCTCTCTAGATTACAATCTGTTTCCTAACTCTAATGCCTATCAGAACAGACTTTCTCTTTAGCACCTGCAGCTGGAACTATGCCTCCAAGGACCATCTCAAACCATGAATAGGCCTAGTTTCAAGCCCTGAATAATAACCAAGGAAACTAGCATGAGTAATAAAGTCAAAACTCAGTTTTTAAAAATAAAAATATTGTTTGGATGTATTTATTAACCACTTCATTAAAAGTTTGCCCCTTTTTAAAAAAATACAGTATCTTAAATAAAAGCGAAGGTAATATTTAACTTCATAGAGTTATTGTAAGGATTATTAAAATAGGATATGGAAGCATTAAACAGTGACTGAAATATGATATATGTTTGGCACTGTTTTTCCAATACTTTGTTCCCCAAATTATTTCCTTCTATAGTTGCCATTTACCCAAGAATACTAAAATCCAACCTAAAAAATAATCCATGTTGTTTTTCTATCCATTTTCTCATAATATTTAGGAATTAAATTTAAATCCTTATGGCAATGACTCAGAAGTACCCTCACCATCTTCCTTGATGGTCCTTTTCAGATGCATATGCATTTCAGTCTTCATCTTTCTTTCTTATTCTGTTCTATTTACCTTGAAGCAGACTGTCTTACTAGAGTAAAATTGAGCATTCTATTTGGTTTCCAATTTCTAATATAGCCAACATTAAGATACAGCTATTCCTGACTCTGTACCTATTGTCAGTTAGACCATTGATGATCCATAGCAAAATCTTAAATTCATTTTGATACATACTGGCAGAAATTTCATTATAAAATGAGGAATTCTTTGGACACATAATCATTGCCACAATTTATCTAAAGTTTTCTTAACTACTTTTATAAAATATAGCTAATATTGATATAGTCATTAAGTATAGAAATTTCCTAAATGTAATTCTAAGAAAGGAGGAAGAGATGAGGAGAAGAGAAGGGAGGAGAGGAAGAGAGGGAAAGGAGAAGAAGGGCTAGAAGAAGAAAGAGAAATCTTAAGTAGACTCACCTCCAACCACTCTTGCTTCTTTCAGTATTTGATTGAATAGACTTAGACACAGAATCTTGACTTCTCAGGGGATGAGAAACTGAATGTGGTATTTGCCTTTCGAGGAAACGTATCTTATTATTAAATATTAAAAATTTATTTCCAAATTGAGAAATGTAAAATATACATAGGACAACATCAGTCAGTAACAAACATGCATTCATTGATGTATATTTTTCTACATACCCTGTGTTCATTGTTTTCGTTAAAGGAGGCAACTCTGGATTCATTACTTCCCAAGCCGAATCTCAAAGGATATAAGTAACGAAAAAAAAGTAAAATAGGTAACATTTAAAAAAAATTATCTCAAACTTTGGGGGTTGAAAGCTTGAAGAAGAACTTAACGATATGGACTTGTTCAACATCACTTTACTGGAATTTCTTGCAGCCTGCCTTATTATTTTTTTTTACAGCAAAAACTTTTTTATTGCGAAATACACATTTTTAAAATTATTTTCAGCTGTACAACACAGTGCAATAGTTATACCTTTTACCCCTCGAAGTGACAACCCCCTCCCCCAATCTGCTGCCCCATTCCCCCCCAATATCATACATATCTATTACAATTCCCTTGACTCCACTCCCACACT